TTAAAGAGTCAAATGGTACACAAGTTACATGTGTTTCCATGAATCATGTGGGATAACTAATCTTATCTAATTCTAATTTAGTATTAATAATCTTTAATGTGATAAATATTTAGGAAGATTACCATTAAATAATGGTAAAGGAAGTCAAGCCTCTAATGCAACAAGAAAGGAAGAAATTACATAATTACTCAGTTTGATATATTTTGTAATTAGAGTTATTGTTAGGAATCTGTTGTCTTAATACATAAAATATTTACAGAACATAAATAATATTTTTGGCTATATACACTAGCAAAAATGTTGAGCACTGGGATATTTATTAAAAAGTTTAAACTACAAAAATATTTACTTTTCTGGATAGAAGTATCTTAATTCTCTTCCTCAGTAACTAAATAAGTAGGTTAAATAATATCTCTGTGCCCTAGTGAGCCTATCTGTTCCCAACCTACCACCAAGTATGTACATCCCTTCACAAATTGATGGATATAAAATGATTAATGTTAAGAACACAGCTATAAGGCTTTCATCTAGGGTCTTCAAAATGGCATACATTAATTCACAAGACTGATACCTTTCTAAGTTCAGCCAGCCTGCCCAAAACTAGGTATTTTTTAATGATTAGAGAATGATTAGCTTATATCTCTGTTGATATTTTGGTTTTATTGATATTTATTTAGTATCTTGAATAAGCAACAATTTCCCATGGTTCAAGAATCAAAAATTATAAAAAATATCTGGAGCCTAGTTTTCTTCTTACTCAAGTTTCCCAATTGCTCATTCCTCATGCCCCATATTCATTTGCAATTTAAGATTTAATATTAAAATAATCAATCAGCCACTCCAATCTGAGTTATTTGGCTATGTCTATTTGTTTTGATTTGCTAAACTATTTGATATTTAGTTCATTCCCTTATACATATTTTTAACATAATGATATCATGATAAATGAAATGTTCATAGACCACAGCAAATATATACTCTTTAGGAACTAATAGTTATAAAATTCAATAATTTCAAACAATAATCCCTATTCATTTCTATCAAGAGCAAGCAAAACAACGACCTTAAAATTGGCATACAAATATGTAAGATTAGAAACTCAGTTTTCATACTGCACTCTCAGTTTCAGTTTGAGGATTTATTATTATACCTGTTTTTATTATATGATTACAAAAGCTGGTAAAGGCATTACTGTACCTTCAGGGTCCCACCTTGCAACCATTGGATCTTCAAAAAATATGACATTTTCATGAACCTTGAGCGTGACCTCTATAGGCGGAAAAGTATTTTCTGTTTCAAGGTCTTCTGTAGTTTCCGGGGGATACATATATTTCTGTAATCCGTCTTTGAGTATCTTTTTTAAAAGGACCCAAACAACACCAGATTAGAAGATGACAGGTAACAGTTAAAAATGCAACTATTACTGAATAAGATTATTTTTAATAAGCATTGTCATTTGGTCCCATTTATCTATAGGTTGACTAGCCAAAATGTCACAAAAAAATAAAAAGATCATGATTGAGGAAAAATCTCACTAAATGTGGATGCAATTATAGAACTTTCCTCTGGGTAGGGTGCTATGCTGTGGCTTATTCATCATTTTATTCCTCCAAGCAATCCTGTAAGGCAGATATATTACAGAAAAGATAACCTGAGAGAGAGAAATCAAGCAATTTGCCAAAGATTACAAAATGACTTCAAGGAGGGACCAGAACTGAAAAACAGATCTAAGGCCCCCACATCCCATGCTCATTCCATTATGTTTTCTGCCTCCTTGGTAATAAAAACATTTCCACTACCTTGGTTATACTTTTGAGAAGTATAGAAATGCATGAAAACAAATTAAGCAGACAGCAGATTTTTACTGGGGTAAGAGAGATTTGTGGGTATACGAACATAGTAGATAAGGATCTAGGGAAAAGGGAAGAACTAAAAATGTTAGAAAATAGATAACTGTGTGGGGCAAAGTTCCAGAATAGATGGAAGATTACTGAAAAAAGAAGGAAGGCCTCTTTGTTGCAGGAGAGAAAGACCAATGTGGTGGAGACATTGGGTTGAAATGGAGAAGACAGAATGGTGGTGTAAGAACATTCTGACAAAATTCAAGAACAAAAGATCTTTGAATGGATCCTTGAAAACCTAAGCTCAGACTATGACCTTCCTATGGATAAAGAGTTTTGAAGGCCTATTGTTTTTGTTGTTGCCATTGAGTTGGTTCCAACTCACAGCAACCCCAAGTACAACAAAATGAAACACTGCCCAGTCCTGTGCCAATCTCAACAATAGATGCTATGTTTAAGCTCATTGTTGCAGCTACTGTGTCAAAACATCTCATTGGGGGTCTTCCTCTTTTTTCCTGATTCTCTACTTTACCAAGGATGATGTCTTTCTCCAGGAACTGTTCCCTCTTAATAACATGCCCAAAGTACATGAAATGAAGTCTCACCATCCTTGCTTCTAAGGAGCATTCTGACAACATGTCTTCCAAAACGTATTTGTTTGTTGTTCTGCCAGTCCATGATATATTCAATATTCTTCATGAACACCATAATTCAAAATCATCAATTCTTCTTCAGTCTTCCTTATTTATTGTCCAGCTTTTGCATGCATATGAAGCAAATGAAAAGACCATGGCTTAGGTCAGGCCCACCTTAGTCCTCAAAGTGACATCTTTGCTTTTTAAAACTTTAAAGAGGTATTTTGCAACACATTTGCTAAATGCAGTATGTCATTTGATTTCTTGACTACTGATCCAAATAAAGTGAAATCCTTGACAATTTCAATCTTTTCTCCATTTATCATAGTGTGCTTATTGGTCCAGTTGTCCAGTTATGAGGATTTTTGTTTTCTTTCCATATGTAAACCTTTCCTTGACTTTTTACAATAGTGGACTAAGGCAATATTTGTCCTTCTGTGATTGATTTATTTCACCCAGCACAATGTCCTCTAAGTTCTCACACATTATGTGGTGTTTCCAAGATTCTACATTATTCTTTAATGTTGCATAGTCTTCCATTGTGTGTATGTACCACTGTTTGGTCATTCATTCTTCTGTTGATGGGCACTTAAATTGTTTCCATCTCTTTGCTGTTGTGAATACTGCTGCAATGAACATGGGTGTGCATATGTCTGTTTGTGTCCTGGCACTTCTTTAGGATACATACCTAGTAAAAGGATTGCTGGATCAAATAGTATTTCTAATTCCAACTTTTAAAGGAATCACCATACTGATTTCCACAGTGGCTATATCATTACAGTGCCATCAGCAGGGTATGAGAGTCCCAATCTCTCCACATTGTAACCAGAATTTGTTATTTTTTGTCTTGTTGAATTTTGCTATTAGTGCTGGGGTGAGATGGGATCTCATTATTGTTTTGATTTGCATTTCTCTAATGGATAAAGATCATGAACATTTCTTCATGTGTTTGTTGGCTGCCTGAATATCTCCTTTGGTGAAGTGCCTATTAATGTCTTCTGCACATTTTTTAATTGAATTGTCTTTTTGTTGTTGAGGTGTTGGAGTTTTCTATCATTTTAGAAATAAATCCCTCGTCAGATATGTCGTTGCCAAATTTTTTTTCCCAATCTGTAGGTTTTCTTTTTACTCTTTTGGAGAAGTCTTTTGAAACACATAAAAATTTAAATTTTAGAAGGTCCCAATCACCTAGTTTTTCTTCTGCTGTTTGTGAACTTTGAGTTATGCTTGTTGGTCTATTTATACCATAAATTAAGGTCCCTATAAGCTTACCCCTATTTTTTACTTGATGTACTTTATAGTTTTAGGTTTCACATTTAAGTCTGTGATCTATCTGGAGTTAATTTTGTGTGTGGGGTGAGGTAGGGATTTTGTTTAATTTTTCTGCAAATGGATAAACAGTTTTGCCAGAAACATTTGTTAAAGAGACTCTCTCTTCCCCATTTAATGGACTTCAGCTCTTTGTCAAAGATCAGCTGACCACAGGTCAATGGATCTACTTCTGAGTTCTCAATTCTGTTCCATTGGTCTATGTGTCTGTCATTGTACCACCATGTTTTGACTGTGGCTGTATAGTAGGTTTTCAGATCTGGGAGTGTGAGACCTCCAACTTTGTTCTTCAATAGTACTTTGCTTATCCAAGGTCTCTTTCCTTTCGATATAAAATTAGTGATTGGTTTTTCCATACCCTTAAAGAATGTTGATGGAATCTGGATTGGGATTGCACTAAATGTATAGATTGCTTTGGGTAGTACTGACCTTTTAACAATGTTTAATCTTCCTATCCACGAGAATGGGATGTTCTTCCATTTATGTAGATTTCTTATGGTTTCTTTCTTT